TATATATATATATATATATATATGAGCCTCTTATTTGCTAGCGGTGGTATTGATTATTTGTTACGAATTATTTATTGACGAATTAATTTGCAATTGTAACAAATTGATCAGTTTTTTTTTTTTAACAAATATGGTATCACATTTGCCTTGATTTGTTCCTATAACAAAATCATTTCTCTCAGTGTACGAGAAAGAAATCATAAGTCAATTAGAACAAAAGTATATTAGAGCGTTAATTCTACTTGAACTTTGTGATTCGAGATAATTTCGGTCATTGCTTTTCGAAATGCGATCAGTGCTGGCGGTCGCATTTTTTCCAATTTAACCGACACTTGCTTTCATTCTTTTCGCAACTTGCGGAAAGCAACTTTGCATTATTTGCTCGTTGCTTCCATAAGATTGCATTTTCGCAATTAAATACTAACTTCTTAAAAAATCAATGGCTTGCAGTTCAAAGCAATCCTGCTAAGTACCTAAGTTAATTAATTTTTACTCTATCATTTAGTTATAGCTACTGCTGTTTTAATGTAATATACAGAGTGTCTCAGAAATAAGATAAGAACCGCATGGAGGCGTAGAATAGATCAAGGGGAACAAAAAAGTCTAATATCATTTTGAGATATTTGCTGTAGTTTTCGAATTATTGTAAAAAGGAAACGTGCAGTAAAGCCGCACATTGACTTATACCTTTCCTTTGTCGTTTCCTTTGTCTCTTAAGAATCTTAAGAAATTGATTTCCAATTTGAAAAACAAGATTTAGACTAATATTTTGTTCATTAATCATGTATCATGAATATTCTCATGAGAACATCTCGGAAGGCACAGGAAGTTCTTAAAAGACCGGAAGAAGTATTTTCTGACTAAACACTGACGGAGAGTATGCTTCATAAAATACGACCGTTTTTTGTGTGCTACTCGGTAGTCCCACAAAAATTCTGTAATGCATGCATCCGCTATAAAATTTTGTGCAAGGAGAAACGCCGAGAGAGGAACTCGGGGAAGTACTCGGTTATACCCGACTGCCACCGAAAAAAGATTATTTTTTTCGTAAAATATTATATCCTACTCATGATCACACTTTATC